AGGAGCACCTACAGTCATGTATGTAGAAATATCCACCACCAAACCTGTATCTGCCAGTGGGTGTGCTCCCTTACACCCTCCCACACCTCTTGGCATATCTATCTCTCTATCCATTTGTAAATTATTGTTTGTTAACACTATTGAGAGGTTAGGATTTATGACACATATTTTGGGGGGACACAATCCATAATACCTTGTCTCTTTTAACTTTTCTTCCTTGGTGATCTCACAGCATCAGTCTCCCCATTTGTGCGTGCTTCTGTGCCTAATCTACTCTTTTATATCAATCAAGTGATTGATTAAAGACACACCCTGCAGTGATAAAGCCTCATTAACGTAACAAAAGAAAACCCTATTCCCAGATGTGGTTACAACCACATGTATGTTGTTGTTGATAGTTGCCCTGGAGTTGATTCTGACACATGGCGACTGACCCCATGTGCGCAGGTTCGGAAGCAGGTTGCCAGGCCTGTCTTCTAAGGCACCTCTGGGTGGGTTCAGACTGCCGGCCTTTTAGCTAGTAGTCGAGCGCTTAACCGTTTGCACTACCCAGGGACTGCTAACCACATGTGTGTGGGTTAGGATGTACAACACGTATTTTTAGGGGGCACAGTTCAGTTGTAACAGCACCCACACTCTGTGGGTCATACACCTGCATCTTACTTGAGCTTGTTTTGGCCACCAGTCGTGCCTGGAGGAAGGAGCCCTGGTGGCACAGTGGTTAAAGCGATCACCTGCAGCTCTGTGGGAGAAAGGTGTGGCAATCTCCTTCCGTAGAGATTTACGGCCTTGGAAACCCTGTAGGTTTTCAGTCTGCTGACTGGCAGTGGGTTTGGTCTGGTTTTTGTGCCTGGAGGGCCCTATCAAGGTGACGGCCACCTGGGTTAAAACCAGGCTCTTTTACATTTCCTGCAGTGACTCTCACAGTGGTGCTTCACTGGCTCGTGGGGAAGCCAGAGATCTAGTGTTTTTAATAAACGAACTCTAGAGATCACAATAGAGGGTCCTGGACAGAGCTGGAGAAAAATGTAGAACAAAATTCTAACTCACAAAAAAACACCAGACTTGCTGGCCTGACAAAGACTGGAGAAACCCTGAGAGTATGGCCCGCAGATACCCTTTTAGCTCAGTAATGAAGTCACTCCTGAGTTTCACCCTTCAGCCAAAGATAGACAGCCCCAAAAAACAAAACGAGACTAATGGGGCACAACAGTCCGGGGACAAGGACGAGAAGGCAGGAGGGGATAGGAAAGCTGGTGAACGGGGAGGCCAAGGTCAGGAAGGGGAGAGTGCTGACATGTCGTGAGGTTGGTAACCAATGTGACAAAACAGTATGTACTGATTGTTTAATGCGAAGCTAGTTTGTTCTGTAAACCTTCATCTAAAGTACAGTAATAAAAAATAAAAACAAAACAAAACAAAACACGTGCCCAGAGGCTTTCGAACCTGAGAATAAGTACTGTAGGGTTTTAAATAGGGAGCAACCTCAGGGTTATCATGTGGCCCCGGGCCCTCCAGCTGCCCTGGGCAGAACCATAGACACAGGCAGCTAGCCAAGCTCCGTGCTTGTCTGTAGCTGAAGCAGAGAGCCACAGGGAAGTTTCACATCTGAGAAGAATGATCAGTGAAGGACTTTTAGTGTCTTTTTGTTTTCCTGTTTTCAAATCCAGACGTTTTAATTAACGTTCACCTGGCTGAAATTACAACCTAATCAAGTCCAGGTAATTGTCATTTAGGGAGAAACCTGAAACTAGTTTAGAATATTGAGTTTTAACTTTAACAAAGGAGCCCTGGTGGCTTAATGACTAAGCGCTCGGCTGCTAACCAAAAGGTTGATGGTTCAAATCCACCGCGCGGTTCCTTAGGAAGAAGACCTGGCGATCTGCTCCCATAAAGATTGCCGCCTAGAAAACCCTTGGGGGCAGTTCTGCTCTGTCACATGGGCTAGTTATTAAGTCAGAACTGACTTGACAGTGCCCAACAACAGCAACCCTTAACATAGTTCTGGTTTTTTGCTTTTTAAAATATTTAACGTGTTCTCTGATCTGATGGCAGGTATCTGTGCTTACCTGCTGGAAGGACATCCACGTGTGGAAGTTAGAGGTCACGAAGACTCAAGGAGAAGCCTATGTTGAGTGCCTAAAGAGCAGACGCAGGTACTGTGGGGCCCACGTGTGTCATTTAGTAAATAGAAGTTGTTACTGATTTTAGGAAAGTTATTGTATATGAGACAGGACCATTTTATTTCTGATAAATAAACACAATTAATACATGTTCAATTGTAGAAAAAGCAGAACAAACAAAAATCATTACCCATAATTCTAAATGAAGAGATAGCTAATATTTTGGAATAAACTCATTAAGTATTTGAAAAAATAAAATCTATAGACATATGTATATTTTTCACTGAATAGCATATGAGGAACTTCCTTTCATATGGATCATTACATTTCTCCACCTTAGCTGGAAAGGTTGAGTAGAAATGCCAGCATGCAGATGTGCCATGATTTTTCCACCACTGCTGGAGGCGTAGTGTGGTTGTTTGCAAAGTTCTGTGAATATAAGCTGCCCTGCAGTGCGCCAGCGGTAGGGTTAAATCCCTGTACGCAGTACATATTCTTTGTGTACAATAGATTTCCGGATGAAGGTCACATTTTTAAGATTTTTTAAACATTTTGCCAAATTGTTTTCCATAATAGCTATTATGTGATGTTACTCACTATGAAGGATATTCATGTACGTTAATTTTTTTAATTCTATGTGATCTTTTCCTGTCTTGGTTTGGTTTTTAGAATAAGGTACCTGGGGACCCTGGAGAATCTTCTTCAGCCTAGCGTTTAGTACTTTTTTACATGGGATTTACTTTTTATCTGGCTGTTTTATCGTATTCCACACACAGGTTTTGGCTTTTTAATCTCAGGGTTTTTTTCATCTAAGTGTTTTTTGATTCAAATTTCAAACCCTTGGTGTTGAGTCCTAGATTGTAGGGGTGATGGAAAACCAGTTTGAGTGTATAGTCCTTCTTCATTTTCAAGATTTAAGTTTCACACGAGAAAATCTTTCTGATTAAAGCTAAACTCATATGCTAGTTCAGTTACAGAACTAGTACAGCTGTCAAATGCCTGTGCCAAGTGTTCCCTGTAGAATGTGTTTTGGGGCTCATCTGGGATACAGCTCTCGGGCCTCATTTCATCTTAATAGCATCAGCTGCCTCCCATGAGGCTTCACAGCACTTAAGGCTTCTTTCTGAGGATGCTCTGCTAACTCTTCCCTAGCCCACCAGAGGCTAGCGAAAGTGGAAAAGAGGTAAAAAGCCTATTCTGGCATCTCTTCAAGATGTATAATGAAAACTGATTCATCACAGATGGATAGTGTTATCGATCTTCCCAATTAGGAGTTATAAGCTCACCTGTTACTTTCAATAGACAAGATTAATCAGTTGCTGAGATCATAAATATATTAGTTTATAAGGCCGTGCTCTTTATTTTTGCAATGAAGTGGAGATTGGAGTTTTATTGGGATATTTTAAATGTTCCAGGCTACCGTTTATTTTATTTTATTCTTTGTTTTGTTTTTAATGTAAAAGCAGCCTTTAATGTTAAACATAAAGATGTCAAAGAACAGTCAGATTTTCAAATTTTGGGTGAGAAATTAAAATTCAGGAGAGTATTTGCTGTTTGCTCACCAGTTTTGGGTTTTTGGTCGTATCAATAATTAAAATTTCCTGAAATGGTGAATTTGAAAGACACAAAACTCTTTAAAACAAATTCTTTAAAAATTGTTTTTCTTTTGTGATGTTTTTAAAAGTATCTTTTTCATGTTTAAATGTTTGTTTTCATTTGTACCCACATGCTTTTAATTTTTAATTTCTGAAGTCGATATTAAGCAGTTTCATATTTTTGTGTTTTTTCAGTGATCATGAACCATATCTAGTGGACGCTGTCTTATATGAATGGGAGTCGTATTTTGCTTCAGTTGAAGAAGAACTTGAAACTATAGATGTAAGTTACAAAATATTTTATAATCTGTCAAAATATATATGATGGTTATAACTGTCAGGAGGCCACCAGTGTCATATTGAAAGACGTGTCTTTTTTGACCTGTTAATAGCAATATATGTTTTATGTTGAAATTATTTAAGAATTTTTCATATAAGTCATGATATTTTCTTGATTAGGTAACTATCTTGAACTCTGCCCTTGATTGATATGGCTAGAGAAGTTATGTTTGATAAGACTGTAGAACCTTTTGATTCACAAGGTCTTATTTTGAACTTATCTTAAAAGAAATAATTGTTTTAGTACCTTGCATCTCAGCTGTGTTCTCTGGACAGTTGGTGGGCATTTATAATGTATAAAGAGAGAAAAAGGATTAACTGACCATGAAAGTTTTCCCTTGGAATTTCATACTTTCCCTTCTACCTACAGTCTCAATTGGAAGACAAAGTTGATGAAGTTAAAAGTGGTACTTGGGTCAGTGAAATTACTAAAGTGCTTTCCCTTCCAGTCTTTGACAAGGTAAGTCTGTCATGCTTCTACTTTTTTTTTCTTCTTCTTCTTTTTTCTTTTTGAAGAAAAAAAAAATATATATATATAATGAACCATGATTTCTTTTAACCTGCCAAAGTAGTTATTATTGCTGTTGTTTTCTGGGAATGGGGATTTAATGGATTGATAATTACCTTCATGTTTTCATGATCTGTGCTACTGGTTAGCTTTTTAAGCTGCATGACATACTTACATAAGTGGGAGATGAGTCTCTCTGCATCTAGGTCTGAGGACAGGACAGTGGTGAACAAACCCCCTGGTATTTGTTTCTGTCACTTCCATACTCCTGTCTTCTTTCTTTTCTGGGTGCTGGGGTGTGTGTGTGTGTGTGTGTCTGTGTGTGTGTGTGTGTGTGTGTCTGTGTCTGTGTGTTCTTCCATTTGAACTAACATTCCATGAGGTTCCTGTGACTTAGGTAGGCCCTCTCTACTAATACCACGTCTGATATAGTCTTAGTCTGGATACACAGGGGGCATAAGACCAAAATTTAAAAATTAAGATCTGTTTCCTCATCAAATACAGAATAAAATCTGCTATGCCTGGGACATACAGGGCTTTGTTGGTCTGGCATATAATATTTTACTTCTAGTTTGAGGTATTTGATGAATATTTTGAATAATAATGATTGCAAAAACTTATCTTTTACCAGACTTACTGGCCTGACAGAGACTGGAGAAACCCCGAGAGTACGGCCCCCGGACACCTTTTTAGCTCAGTAATGAAGTCACTCCCGAGGTTCACCCTTCAGCCAAAGATTAGACGGGCCCATAGGACAAAGTGAAGACTAAAGGGGCACACCAGCCCGGGGACAATGACGAGAAGGCAGGAGGGGACAGGAAAGCTGGTAATAGGGAACCCAAGATCGAGAAGGGAGAGTGTTGACATGTCGTGGGGTTGGTAACCAATGTCACAAAACAATATATGTACTATTTAATGAAAAGCTAGTTTGTTCGTAAACCTTCATCTAAAGTACAATTTAAAAAAACAACTTATTTTTAAATATGTGCTACAGTACAGAAAAGCATTACTTGTATTTCGTGGCCTTTAAAATGTGACTAAATCTAGTGTTACTTTATTACATCCTCCAGTACATATTTCTTAGATTTTGACACAGAGTAGATGCTCAGTAAATAGTAAATCAAAATGTATTCAGTACAGAGGAAGTCAGACTGTAAGAATTTAAAGAAGGACTCTATTCAAGAGTTGATTAGAGATAGATTTCAGAATATTTGGGTGCAGCATTGAAATCTTCTAGTTCCTTAAGACAGAGCCAAGCCTGTTTGTCTGGCGCCTGCTTTGCACCTCCCTGTTCCTGCCAGACCTTGGCCTGGGCTACTCCTCAGCCTCAGACACCGTCCCCACTCTGCATTCTACCTTCCTTTGCAAGCCGATTGCTGTCTGCCCTCCCGCTGTGGCCTTGTGTTTTGTATGTTCCATCTCCTCTGCTTGGACACCAGGCCTCCTGCAGTCAGAAGCCTGATATCGAGCATCTTTTCCTCTCCCGTACCTTGCACGCTAAGCAACAAGTATAGGAATTTATCTGCAAAAAAATTTTAAGTGGAAAAATTTTAAGTACCTTAAACTGAGTAACAAATAGTGTTTTAATTAGAATTAAGTTAAAAATCACTTCTCATTTGCAGTTTTTTCCAAGTGCTTATAACAGATTTGGAAAGAAAAAACCTTAGAGCTGAGTAGAATATTTCCCTTTTAACTTGTAATTCTAGGATTTTAATATCCAAAATCCTGGAGAACTTTTAGTGTGCCAGTAGCTTGAGTAATAAGTGTGTCTGAAAACATTTACCTTGTGTTTCATTTCTCCCTCATTCATTCCGTGGGTATTCATTGGTGACCAGATGTGGCCTGTGCCCTCAAGGTGGGTATGGTCTGGGGAGAAGACAGACTTTAAACACAATTAAAAGCAGAGTGCAGGAGCGTGGACTGCCGCAGCAGCATTACCTGATCTAGCGCCCTGGGCCTCAGGGAGTCAGAGATCTGAAGCAGGAATGAACCGGGCCAAGGAGTAAGTGCGTGCGTGTTTGAGGAGGAGTGGGATGTTGTGATGTTTGGAGGGTCCAGTGTTCCAGATGTTTGGAGGCTGGGAAACGTGGTCCGTGGATCTAAGGAAGTTCAAGTGTGGCAGAGGGGCTCTAGTGAGCAAGGTGATAGAAATGTACCCAGGGGCTGGAACCAGGGAGCCTTTGCTATAAGCTTGGACTTTTCCTTAGGGCACCAGGAAGCTAGTATGGGTTTCAAGTAAGGTGTGAGCTCAGATTTGTATTTGATGAAGATCGCCTTGACTGCAGTGTGGAGAATCGATGGGCAGGGCAGGAGAGACTTCGGGCTGACCAGTTACTGCTCACAGCCATTGGCCATGTGCAGTAAGGGAGTGGCAGTGGGATGGAAGAGAACAGACGTGTGAATGTTTAGGAAGTGCCACTGAAAGAACTGTGCTGCTCGTGAGGTTGGGGCACAGGGTGTGTGCGCGTGAGGAGTTAGGGCCAAATCCCAGCTTTGTCCCAGCATGTCAGTGAGGTGGACACTAGAGACAGAACAGGTTGAGAGACCGAGGCTGACGCTGGTTTTGAACACATTGACTTTGAGTTGCCTTGGAGTCACTCAAGTGGATTTGCCCATTGGGAAGTCTGGATGCTCAGAGTTGTATCTTAGAAAATCATTCTAGACTGGGAATTTAAAGAGGTGGGCCTTGTCAGCAGTGAGGCCATGAGCAAATGTGGAATGGCCCAGGGGGGTGCAGAATGAGGTAGATATTCAGCCTCCGGCAGCAGCCCGGGAGCCATCAAGGCCTGAGGTGTGGACTGAGGGGCAAGGACTGCCCAGGAGAACTGAGAGGCCTCCAGAGCCGTGGGCGGGAAGCCAGCAAGGCGGAGTCGGGGAAGTGACGGGTAGTGTTGGGGGTCTGTTGGCTTAGTGGGGCGGGATGGTTGGTGACCTTGACAAGGGCAGTTTGGGGGATGTTGGGACAGCTGTTTTTGATGAGTGAGTCACAAAGTTTAACTGGGAAGGGGAGAAGTGTGATTGAGGGGGTAGGGTAGCTGGAGGAGAGCAAGTGGGTAGGTAATACGAAAGGCGGTATTTCACATTTTACGGAGAAAATAATTATAGAGAGAATTATTTAGAAATTAGAATCCTACCCTTGTCCTAACAAGTTATGTTATGATTAGTAATTTTTTTAAGCAAAAATGTTAATTTAGTGTAGTTAAGTTTACTGTGCATTTGAGCATACAGCTGGTACCAGTAAACCCACTGCCATCGAGTCAACTTCAACTCATGGCGACCCCGTGTGTCAGAGTAGAACTGTGCTCCGCAGGGTTCTCAATGGCTGACTTTTCAGATTGCCAGGCCTTTCTTCCAAGCTTTTATTATAGTGGTGCTTAATAGTCCGTCTTTGTCTGTTGGAATTTCTCCTCGTAATTCAAGGCAAGCCCTCTCTATAAACAGTGCACCTGTGTGGTGTGTCCCTCACAGTACCGACCTGAGTCTTCGCGCCCTGATGGACAGCAGACAGCAGTTCACCAGGATGCCAGTGCTTCCCCAGAAAAGGCTCCTGCCGAGGAGTCTGAAGTCGCCCGGCTGCTAGCCTGTGCCAAGAAGGCTGTCCAGGCAGCTCAGTCAAAGCAAAGCCCCGGGGCTGATCAGAAACCGCCTTGTCCTCAAGGACGTGGGACTCGTTCAAACCAGTCTCTGAAGAAGCCATTCAATAGTATCATTGAGCACCTGGCGGCAGTATTCCCATGCTACAGCAGGTATGGCTGGAAAATGCCTCTGACTCGGTTCTGTACCTACTGAACTAAGGTTTCCTGATCCCATAAAATCATGGCCAGTTAGGGGCTGAAATGGAAAGGACTGCATAATTGTTTTATTCAGACAGCTGCGGCATTTCCTTTCTTGTTTGTAAACATCGAGGTGAGCGTTTTCCAGTATGTTTTTAGTCTGCACGTCTAGATTTTAAAAACTGAACCATCATTAATGGACACACATCAGAACCCATGGCAGTTTGCTGAGATTTTGATGAGGTCGCCTAACACTCTCCAGCGCTGGTTGCTAGGGAGTCGGTAAATGACTGCTTAACAATAGTTTCTTGTCATTGTGGGGGGAAATCGCATATAGCAAGGGAACATCGACTTCCACCCTGTGCTGGACAGTACCTCTGGTTTGTTGAGGTGCAAGATTGGAGAGACTGAGCATTACTCGCCAGCATGTTAGGTGTGCGAGCATGTTAACAAGGGATCCCTGTGAGGTGGGAAGAGCTGCTTTTACAAGAGTTGTAAATAGGGTTTGGGGAGCCATAGGCCCTTCCATAGGTTTCGGCTGCCTTCTCTGGCCTCTGCTTTCCAAGTTGGTGTGAGGGGGACAGAAGCACTCCCAAGGTGAGGTAGAGGGGATGGCTCTCCTGGGTGGGTGCAGCTCAGCAGAGGCATTCACACCCAGGAGGGACCATCTGCACCCCCATGTTCTTTCTGACTCTGATACAATTAGTTAATTGTAGGCCTTGAGCTTGTACTTTTGAAACAAAATAGTCTTCAAAACATGAATTCATGTTTTATTCTTATAGGTGGAGCCCTGCCCATTTGAAAATGAGTATATTTTTGCCTGCACTTGGGTATATTTAGCCCTGCCTAAGTTTGAGAAAGCTTTTGTGTTCTCTCAATAGCAATTGTCATGCCATTTGTAAAAATACTCACATTGTAATTACCAGAAGTACGCTGAAAGTAATTGTTTATAGTCTTAACTAAATTTGTTAGAGTTTAAATAAGCAAATAGAAATGCATCCTGATTTTCTGCGAGTTAAGACATCTGGGATCTTAGTGGTACAAATAACAAGTACCTGTTGACTCACAGCACAAGCCCCAGTCCATGGCACTTGTGAAACATTCAGGTTTTGAAAACCACATTGTTAGATTTTTCAAGGGGGAGGTTGATAAAACAAGCTTCCTCAGGGGTAGAAAGAGTATCGTTCCATTAGGAGCCAGCGGGTCTGATGGACCAATGATTCTGTGCAAGGCTATGACATAGCAAGCAGTCTGTTTGAAGTCAGTTTTCTAATTTGGGTGGCTGTCTCAAATGGATCTAGCAGGTTTACTAGATCCATTTACCTTGAAATGTTGTTGGAGTAAATATCTAGAAATAAAATTGAAGTTTTTCTAACTACTTGCCAAGATGATGCTGCTTTAAAATGGTTCTTCATTAGTCCAATTACTATTGTTGTCGTGTAGTCTAATTTTGTTTGCGTGTGTTGGCTTTGTTTCTTTTAGCTGCTGGGTTAATATTGGCACGTAGTGTTTCTCAGCTGCAGAGAACTGGACTTCTCTTGTCATTTGTCACCATTTTCCCTTTCAGCTCCGAGCTTGCTGGGTTTGTTAAAAAAGTGCGAACCAAGAGCTCACTTTTAGGACTGAGTATTGATGAAACTGTCGGGAGAGTGATAGAACACATCCTCACTGAGCAGAAGAAGAAGGTCGGTGTGCCATCCAGATTCAGTAAAATGTTCCATCTTATCTTTATTTATTTGGAAAAGATGAGAATTGTTTTTTTAAAAAAAAAATGCTTAACCAAAATGTAGAGAGCAATTTCCTAAAGACCGGAGATGATCAGGCTTTTCAGTAACTGAGCTTTGTGCTGTCCCCATCCCCCGTTGTCTCGGTAGCCAAATCCAGGGACAGATCAGAGGACCTCTGAGCCCAGCTCTGCTGCTCCTGCCACCAAGTCCTCTGGGAGCCAACCCTCAGCACCTGCTGGAGCGTCACCCAAAACCCAGGGCCAAAAACAAGAAGATGGGAGTGCCGTCCCCGTGACTGTATAGTTGTTCTTGTCTTTGTGCTTTGTTATTTTAATGAAGAACAAGAAGGAAAAGAAGCTTTTAATCTGTGACTTAGCCCCTTCTTTTCATTTCTAGACCGAATTTATTTGATCTTAAAATTAGCAACCAGAGTTAGAGGTACTCGAGTGTGGAGCATGTCCAGTTAGAACAGGAGTCAGCAAAATGACAGGGTTTTGGTCTCTCTGTGTTCTTCGGCCCCACACAGAGAGGGGGCCACATACCCAGGCCCCAGAGCCACTCTGACCAGATGGTGGGGACTGGGTGTCTGCCACCCTGCCCTTGTTTCATTGCAGACACTCAGGTGCTTTAAAATTTTTATGCTGAGTGTGGTATTTTGAAGAGATGGGAAAATGATTTTTGAATCATTTTATTCTATGTAAATATGGGCTTTGGAATCACACAAACCTGGTCCCATCACTTCATATAACACTGTGAGCCTGGACATGTTTCTTAATTTCTCTGAGTCTCCAATTCCTTATCTGTATAAAAAAGAACGCCATCTGCTCACCCGGGTTGTTAGCTGGATTTAATGCTGCAGTAGGCTCAACCGGGCCCAAGCACTGTGCTCAGGAAAGGCGAGTTCTTCTTCCCTCCAGTGCCTGGGAGGGCAGTTTACATCCTCTCCCAGCTATTGATACTTAGGTGAATGATTAATTTTTTACTCCCTATTCCTCTCTTCCTCCATCTCCTGGTAACCACTAACCTTCTTTTGTCTCGATGGATTTACCTATTCTAGATACTTTATATTGATGAATGATTAATTTTTAGCGTTTAAGCTAGTACCATACTTTAAGTATGGTATGAAATAAATCGTCATTTGTAACATTTGATCTGGGAGTCTGTTAACTATGTAAAACAGTTTTTTCTCTGAGAAGATCAGAACTTTAGGAGTATACTTTTTATTTTTTTCATCTTAAGAAA